GGCCAATAGCATCTCTAATTGAGACTTCTTTTTGGAATGTAATCATTTTCACATCAGAAGACCTCAGGCTGAAGCCTTAAATGTATGTAGTTACTATTTCACTTTGTTCTTTATATTCTAGGTAGTAACCCTCTATCAGAAGTACAGCTGGTAGAGAGCTTTTTTATTGAGTTGCCTCTTCACAGGAATGATGGTGTCCTTTAGAGTACAGCTTTTTAGTTTCATGTGGTCCTGTTTGTCAGTTCTTGAAACTAATGATTGTGCTATAGGGGTTCTATTCAGTCTTGTAAGTTCCAGTGAATTCCCTGCTTTCCTATCTATCTGATTCATGAGTCAGATAGCAAGTCTTATGTTGAGGTCCTTGATCCATTTGGAGTTTTGTACTTGGTAATAGCCAAAGGTGGTTGATGATCAGAAGGAAACAGTTTTCCACATAACTGGTCAGTTGTTCAGAAGCATTCACAGCAACAGTGGAAGTATGCACAAGACCATACAAGCTCAAACCAGAAAATTACAGAATAGAGATGAGGAAGTAGGTAAGAAGCTCCAACCCCACCTAGGGAAACTATGGCAACAAAGGGCTTCTGGGAGGGGCAGAGACAGTTCCTTTCTAGCATAAGACTCCTGTTAGGTTAGCCTACAGTGAAAGACATTTTAAGACACAAATTAGCCTCTCTGGGCTTTATTATTTACGTAAAATTGAGTACATTAAATTGTGGGAGGGGGCAATAAGAGGATGTGGGAATGGGGGATCTAAATACCATCAAATTACAATGTATGAAAACTTAGAAAAATTCAATTAAAAAACAATAAGGGGGAGAAAACATATAGCACATAACCTTGTTCATTAATATTCAATAAACACGTTATTTGTTAAAAAAAAAAAAACTAATAAACCTAAGCCTAACACACTACCTCAGCCCCAACACAAACTCTTTAACACTAATGACTAACAAAACCCAAACTGTTAATCCTAACCATAACGTTCTAACCCTTACTGTTTCCCTAATATTCTAACCCTAACCCTTACACTAACACATTAACCCTAACTGTAATTCTAATCCTTAAAACCAATCCCTAAATCTGCTTAAATTATCTTTACTATAACAAAATGCCTGGCAAGAAGCAAGTTAAGGGAGAAAGGGTTTATTTTACATCAAAGCTTGAAGGGAAGGAAGTCCTTAATAGTAAGTAGGGAGAGCCTGGAAAGAAAAGTGTCAGCTGGTCACATCCTATAGAATCAGAAGTAGAGATGAATGCTGGTATTCAGCTGGAATTCTATCATTCAGGATGGGAATCCAGCCCACAGAAAGTTGCTACCCATATTTAGGGTATGTACTCCCACACTAGTGAACTTTGTCTAGAGAATTTCCTAATGACATGCGTGGAGAGGTTTGTTTTAAGGGTGATTCTAAATCCATCCAAGATGACAATGGAGATTAACCTGAACCTTTTTTTTTTTTTTTTTCCTGAGACAGGATCTCCCTGTAGCCCCAGCTGTCCTGGAACTCACTATGAAGACCAGGCTGGCCTTGAACTCACAGAGATCCACCTGCCTCTGCCTCCCAAGTGCTGGGACTACAGGAATGCGCCACCACGCCTGGCTCTGAACCTTAATCTTAATCCGTTTACTTTAACCTTAGTCCCTTAAGCCTAACTCAATCCAAACTCTAAATCTAACCTCACGCTGGGTCTGGTCCACAAACCACCAGAACAAAGGAAAACCACCGGTAATAAACAATACAGAAAGAAAATTTATGGAGATCTCCACAACACAGACTTTTTGGTGTATTCCTTATCTCTTTGCTGTCTATTGTTAGGTATAACATACCTAACAAATGTGTTTATTTCTTGGTATGGTTTGAGGTGATACAGCTCATCATAGCAAGAAAGGCAATGTGACAGTGATTCCATGGTAATGGGATTGCGTACCTGTGACTCCACACCTTAGTGCTGCACAAGAATAGGGAAAGTTAGCCAAGAATTGGGTCATGGATGTAAACCTGACGGGCTGCTTTCCAGACACTCACTTCCTCCAACTAGGCCCCACTTACCAAAGGTTCATCAAGTCCCCAAAATGGTACCAACAGTTGCAGATCACCTAATGAAAAAGATTTCCATTTGTGACTCCTTTTGTGCAATAATTTCTAATGCAACCCTGAGTATATAGATTATGAAATGAGTACATAAATCAAACATTTACTGATAAGTTGAGTCTATTTGAAAATAATTTTTTGGTAAGTATATAATTTTACCAGTTATTAATGAAAAAGTTTGTATGCTAATAAGGATATGCTTATTCATTTCCCGATAGATTAAATCTTAGATGAATATTTGATAATACAGCATGTAGATAATGTGTTTTAGAGCTAATAGATATTTTGGTCTTGCAACTGCCAATGCAGAGAGCATCAATATGCACACATTAGTACAAAAAAAAGACCATTTCATAATTTGCTAAAAATGATCGCTTTATTGCAACCCAATATCCGTTAAACAATATTTTTATGAAATAGAAATAATTAACTCAGATGATTTTCAAAACTAAACTTTATAATACAATACAAAGATAAACTAATTTGGTACTTAAATGCTGATTAACAGTAGGAAAATAGAAAAGTCTGTTTTCCGCAATTAAATCATTGTTTTCATAAGAGCAGAAAACTTTGGATATATAGCACTTCAATCTGGACAGTCAATCTTGTATGAGCTGAGGTGCTTCAGGCAACTGTTGATTGGCATGTGTGGCTTGACAGCATGTACAGTGTACATGTTGTATGTTCAGAACAAAGGCTGACTGCAGGTAAGTGACATGATGCAACACAAGTGAGCACTGACAGAAACAATCAATACACACTTGATTTTGAATTTTTAATCACAGTTCAAAATCTTTCAACGCTGCCAAATTTTTTGAAAACCCAGTTATGCAATCCAACAGGGAGTCACGAACCACAGACTAAACACGTGTATTTAAGCATATGTGCTTATGGGGGACAATTTCACATCCAACCAAATATACTGGCCCTGTCCCCTTGGGCTTATGGTAATCTGACAATGCAATCAGTCCAACTTCAAGTCTCTAGTCTAAATACTGTAGGAGGAATGTAAGAACCCAACAGAATCCAGTAAAGGAATCAGCAGAAGCTATTAATGACCTATTATGGCCCTTTAAAAGTTTGAAAGCATAAATTCAAATAACAAAAAGTTTCCATTAACAAAAAAATCAAGATCTATTATCTGCTTACAACAAATCAACAATGAAAAAACAAGGGCACTGCCCTCTATTTCAGAGTACTTTCTAAAGATGCTCAAAACCAGTTCATCAGCATTACAAAGAAAGCACGGTCATCAGTTCCAAATATGATATTGTTGCTAAAGATTTTCCATTGAGACACATGCGGAGGTGGAAAGTAACAAGTTCATTATGACCCAGGTTATTCCAGGATAGTAGCTGGTGTCATCCTAAGATTCTTTTTTTCTCTCTCTAGACAAGGTCTCACTATGTAACTTTCTTTCTCAGTGTCCCTAATAATACCATTTTATTTTTGATACCATACATACACAATTTAAAAACTTTAAATCTAAAAATGTAAAAATTACAGAAAAAAGGATATAAAGAAATAGTTTTAATCAATTGTAAAATAGATATTTTTAAGCAAGGTATTATTACAAAAATCGAAAGTATTAAAATTCTGCACATTGCTGGGTGTGGTGGTGTATTATTACAAAAATCGAAAGTATTAAAATTCTGCACATTGCTGGGTGTGGTGGTGTATTATTACAAAAATCGAAAGTATTAAAATTCTGCACATTGCTGGGTGTGGTGGTGTATTATTACAAAAATCGAAAGTATTAAAATTCTGCACATTGCTGGGTGTGGTGGTGTATACACTACAAAATTAAAAGGTTATAAGAAAATTCGTTAGGAAAATAGTATAACCTAAGCCTATAGTGCTGATAAAATTTAGAGTAGTTATGTCCTAGGACTTTATATTCACTAAATAATCATTGACAGTGCAAAATCTAGTCCTGAAACTCCACTCACTTAAGTGTCCTTTATATGAATAACATTTATCTTTATAACAGATCTTTTCTGTTTGACACATATTTATTGGTACCAATGCATAAAATATGCAGAAAGGCAAAACACTATAGCTTACTGAAATCTTGAAGTTATGGGTCATACCACATAGCTTAAGTGTGTGGTAGGCTATTCTATGAGCAGACACTATGATCTTAACACAATTAGAAAATTGCTTCTACAGATCAGCAAGTAGTTCCATGGTTAGGGACTGTTTAAACACCTAAAAAATTTATCTCAATGTTTCCCTACAAAGAAAAAAAATTCAACATCTAGAGACCTTATTTCTATTAATGGTAATGCTGGAGATTAAACCTAGAGCCTCACACATGGCAGACCAGTGCTAAAACAATTACTTACATACCCAGCCCTCTTTCTTCCTTGAGACAGGGTCTAAGTTGCCTGGGAAGACCTTGAACTTGCTTTTCTCCTGCCTCAACCACCAGAGTACCTGGGATTACAGTCTTTCACTATTGTGCCCTTTGGATGTTCTTCAAATAAACCACTAGAAAATGCAATATATTCATAAATTACATAGGATTTCATTCATGTTGTCAAACAGTAATTTTCATCAAGATTTCAATATACATAAATTTGAACCATTTCCTTGTAATGAGTTACAACTTTTATGTGGTTAGAATTGTAACCTTTACTTTCCAAACCACAACAATTTCAATCCAATGTCTTTTTCTATATGGACGACCTTCAAAGCCACATTATCATGTGTATTTGAGTGGATGTATGAGAAATGAAGACAACCTCACATTGCATTCTTTTACAGGGCTTATCCCAGATAGTTTCATGTCTTCAAATGAAAATTCAAAGAATTTTCTCAAATGAAGGTCTTAAAACATTTCTCATATTCATACATCTTTTCTCTAGGGAGTCTGTTCATGCTTTCAAAAAAAAAAAAAAAACCTTGAAAGTTCACCATTTGTTTTATATTCATTAGAGCTTTATCCCAGCACCCCACACATTTGAAGAGAATTGTAAAGTTTTTACAGGTTGTTTACATTCATAGGGTTTTTCCTCCAGCATGCATTTTCCCATGTCTTCGAAGTGAACGGTGACATGTGAAGGATTTTCCACAATCTTTACATTCATAGGGTTTCTCTCCAGTGTGAATTCGTTCATGAATTTGAAGTAAATAAGGATAAATGAAGGACTTACCACATTGTTTACATTCATAGAGTTTTCCCCCAGCATGAGCTATTTTATGCCTTTGAAGAGAACTATGACTTATCAAAGCCTTTCCACACTGTTTACATTCATAGGGCTTTTCTCCAGTGTGAATTTTTTCATGCATTTGAAGAGAACTGTGACTTCGAAAGGCTTTATCACATTGCTTACATTCATAAGGTTTTTCACCAGTGTGAGTCCTTTCATGCATTTGAAGGAAACAGGGATAAAGAAAGGCTTTACCACATATATTACATTTGCAGAGTTTCTCTCCAGTATGAGACCTCTCATGCATTTGAAGGTAACATGGATAAATAAAGGACTTGCCACACTGCTTACACTCATAGGGTTTCTCTCCAGCATGAATTCTTTCATGCCTTCGAAGGGAACTTTGACTTCTGAAGGCCTTACCACATTGCTTACATTCGTAGGGTTTTTCTCCAGTATGAGTTCTTTCATGTAACTGAAGGGAACTTGCACAACTGAGAATTTTACCACACTGCTTGCACTCATAAAAACCACTATGAGTTTTTTCATGTATTCGAAGATAACCAGCACTTTTAAAAGTTTTACCACATTGTTCACACTCATAGGGTTTTTCACCAGTATGTGTTCTTTCATGGGCTTGAAGAAGACTTTGACATCTGAAGGTTTTACCACACTGTTTACAATCATAATGTTTTTCTCTGGTATGGGCTCTTTCATGTAATTGAAGGGAACTGTTAGCTTTGAATCTCTTACCACACTGTATACATTCATAGGGTTTTTCTCCACTATGAATTTTTTCATGCCTTTGAAGGAAAGAGGGACAAATAAAGGCCTTACTGCATATCTTACATTGATAGGGTTTTTCTCCAGTATGAGACTTTTCATGCTTTTCAAGTAAATAGTGATAGACAAAGGACTTACCACATTGTTTACATTCATAGGGTTTTCCTTCAGCATGAGCTTTTTCATGCACTTGAAGATTACTGAGACGTCTAAAGGCTTTGCCACACTGTTTACATCTGTAAGAATTTTCTCCAGTATGAGCTCTTTCATGTAACTGAAGAGAACTGGAAGAACTGAGAGTTTTACCACACTGTTTACATTCATACAAACCACTATGAGTTTTTTCATGGATCCGAAGATTACTGAGACTTTTGAAGGCTTTACTGCATTGTTTACAAGAATAAGGTTTTTCACTAGTATGAGTCCTTTGATGTACTCGAAGTAAACTGTGATATCTAAAGGCTTTACCACACTGCTTACATTCATGAGGTTTTTCACCAGTATGAATTATTTCATGTACTCTAAGACGGCTGAGACCTCTGAACGCTTTACCACATTGTTTACATTCATATGGTTTTTCTCCAGTGTGAGTTCTTTCATGTAGCTGAAGGGAACTTGGGCAACTGAGAGTTTTACCACATCGTTTACATTCATAGGGTTTTTCTTCAGTGTGAGTCCTTTCATGTACTCGAAGATAACTGAAACCCCTAAAGGCTTTGCCACATTGTTTACATGCATAGGGCTTTTCTCCAGTATGAGTTCTTTTATGTAACAGAAGGGCACTGGAACAACTGAGACTTTTACCACATATTTTACATTCATAGGGTTTTTCCTCAGTATGACTTCCTTCATGTATGCGAAGATAACTGAGACTTCGAAAGGCTTTACCACATTGTTTGCATTCATAAGGTTTTTCACCAGTGTGTGTTCTTACATGGACTTGAAGTAAACATGGATAAATGAAGGATTTACCACACTGTTTACATTCATACGGTTTTTCCCCAACATGAGTTACTTTATGTCTTTGATAAGAACTGTGATCTTTGAAGTCTTTACCACACTGTTTACATGCATAGGGTTTCTCTCCACAATGAGTCCTTTCATGTCTTTGAAGGAAAGAGGGACATAAAAAGGCTTTACTACATAGCTTACATTTATAGGGTTTTTCCCCACTATGAGATTTTTCATGTAGCTGAAGGGAACTCTGACCTCTGAAAGCTTTACCGCACTGCTTACATTCATAAGGCTTTTCCCCAGTGTGCGTTCTTTCATGCCTTCGAAGGAAGGAGGGACACAAAAAGGCTTTACCACATATCTTACATTTATACGGTTTCTCTCCAGTATGAGATCTTGCATGCAATCGAAGGGAACTGTGACCTCTGAAAGTTTTACCACATTGTTTACAGACATATGGTTTTTCCCCAGTATGAGTTCTTTCATGCCTTTGCAGGAAAGAGGAACAACGAAAGGCTTTACTACATATCTTACATTTGTATGGTTTTTCTCCAGTATGAGACCTTTCATGGGTTTGAAGTAAATAAGGATAAATGAAGGACTTGCCACATTGTTTACATTCATAGGGTTTTTTCCCAGCATGAGCTATTTTATGTCTTTGAAGGGAACTGTGACTTCTCAAAGCCTTACCACATTGTTTACATTCATATGGTATTTCTCCAGTATGAGTTCTTTCATGGACTCGAAGATTACTGAGACTTCTGAAAGCTTTAGCACATTGTTTGCATTTATAGGGTTTTTCTCCTGTATGAGTTCTTTTGTGTCTTTGTAGGAAAGAGGAACAAAGAAAGGCTTTACTACATATCTTACATTTATAAGGTTTCTCTCCAGAATGATACCTTTCATGCATTTTAAGTAAATATGGATAAATAAATGACTTACCACATTGTTTGCATTCATACGGTTTTTCCGCAGCATGAATTATTTCATGTCTTTGAAGGGAACTGTGTCCCCTGAAGGCTTTACCACATTGTTTACATTCATAACATTTTTCCCCATTATGAGTTCCATTGTGAAATGGAAGGTAACTAAAGGAACTGAGAGAGTTATTACTATATGGTTTATATTCATAAGACTTTTCTTCAGTATGACTTCCTCCATGTGTGGAAAGAGAACTAAGACATAGAAAGGCTGTTCCACATTGCTTATATTCATAGAGCTCTTCTCCACTGTGAGTTTGCTGATGTATTCCATACAAACTTGGAAAACCAAAGGGTTTTGAATATACCTCATATTCACACGGTCCACTTATGGTATGGGTTCCAATGTGTCTCTGAATACTTGTGAGACAATTAGAGTTAAACTGCTTCTTTCCACATTCTGCAAGCTCGTACTGTGTGTATCCAGAGTGAGTTATGATGAGCCTATTAAAGGATAAAGGACAGATGGAAAACTTTCCCATGCAAATTACATTCACATAATTTAACTCCAGTAGAAAATTTTGGACTCCTATTGAGATTTGGTACCTAGAAGGTTTCTCCAAATGGATCACCTTCTTTATGCTCACAGACTATCTACCATGTAACTTCTGTAAAAAAAATGGTGCACACATTACTAATGGTTCCTTTATTAATAACTCTTTGTTTATTTGTAGGTCTTGTACTTAACACTATTCCCCAAATGAGGCAAATTGTATGCTTTCTGCAATATCTAAATGTTCTCACACTAAAGGGTCTGATGATTCTGCAATATAATTCTCAGAGCTACTATCAAACAGCAAAAGTCATATATACATTTTCTCAGTACTGTTTCCAAGTGAATTGTTTTGCAAATCTGGACAGCTTTCTTAAATGGAATTACTTTTTATATTTTTATGTACATGAGTGTTTTGGTTGCATGTGCGTAAGTACACCATGTGCATACAATGCCCACACAGGCCAGAAGAGGGCATCTAGATCCCCTTACAGACAGTTACTAGCTGCTGTGTATTAGGAATGGAACCAGGGTCCTCTGCAAGAGCAGTCAGTGTCCTTAACCACTGAGCTATCTCTCCTGCCCTAGGATTACATTATTTTTCATGGAACTTTTCTAACAGTGAATAAGTTTAAAGTTGTGTCTACTTTGTTTACCTATTCATAAATTTTCATGACATATTAAGATTTTTCTTAAGACATTTTCTTCCACTTTTATATGTAATTTACCTTGTATTTCTTTCACAATGTTTGTATGGGTCTTCAACGGTCTGGTTTCCCCATCCGATTCCTAAAATGTAGACCCAGAAAAATTACTACAAATGATTAGAAACTACAAAAATGTTCTAGTTTCTAAACTCAATGCACCCATGCCTGATTTATTCACCTAGATCTTCCTTTTCTACATACTAAATCACAGAACCAAACTACACTTGTCTGGTGAAGTGAAGGAAGGTTAGCATTCTTACCCATAGAAGCGAGGTTACTGCATATTTCCAACATCACATCAATATACAAATTCTTCTGAGAAGGATTTAGCAAAGACCACTCTTCCTGGCTGAAGTTCATAGCCACATCCTCAAAGGTCACTGAATCCTAAAACATTCGGTATGTATGAATAACAGAATGTTGAGACTGATAGCACTATAGATCTACAGTCAAAAACTGAGAAGGTATTTGCATAATTCTAGTCTCCAAATATTTATTCCATGACAAAGAGATTCTAAGGCTAGAACTGACCTATTCAGAAAGGAAATATCAGAGTAGGTGCACTCCTGTCATTATTGTGTCCAGGGACTAGGATGTGTTACTGAGTCACCCCAATTTCTTTTTCTAAAGTGGATCTCTAGAACCTGTAATAAAGTCTACTGAATGATATACAGAAGGTTGCTTTTCTTAATAAAATCCTGTGCACAAAGTCTAACTTTTACTGGTATCAGGGAATCTAAATTTCTGGAAGACATTGTACCAACATTTATAGCATTTCCCTTAATCTATATAACAGTACTTCCCTTAATATAAATGACTTACGGACACATTATGGCATTTTTATAATAGTCTGTTGGTTTTTTGAAAATTCTAAATACAGTAGTACTGACAGACTCAGTCCCCCAAAACGTTGAGGGCAATGAGTTTCACACATGTTGTCACAATTTGTTAAAGGGGGAATTTCACCTGTGCTATCTAATAATGTCAAATGAAAGCGTGAGACATCTGAAAGCAGTTACACTAGGCCAAATTTAACCAAGCAATAAATTTGAAGAAAAGCAGCAATGATCCTAACAGAACAAATTTTAAATATTTTTATACATTTCTTGCTTGATGATGTCATATATCCACCTCCCTCTTCCACAGCAGTCTTAGACTAACAAAATATTTTAAAATATTCATTCAGCAACTGTCAAAACAAAATTGAACAATCACATGGTACATGTTTTTTCAAAGTAGCAAAGTGTGTTATGTGCTATAGTCCCGGCAACTGGGGAGACTGATGTGTAAGACTGCTTGACTCAGGAGCTTTCAAAGTCTGCCTACAAAACACAGCGAGACCCCCTAACCCAGGAGTGAGAAAAAGGAAGGAGGTGGAAGTCGGGGCCACTAAAATGTCACCTCTACTGAATTATACCTTTATAAAATCACATAAAATCTCACAGTTTTTTGGTAGTCAGCTAAATCTGTATTTCCAAACCTACCAGTAATACAAGTGCCTAAGGATTAAAAAGTTTCCTAACAATAGTGTCATGTCCTAAAATAGATGAAGGACTTTTAAACTATACTATAGACATAAAAGGCCAAAAATAAAATAAAATTCCCACCATTTAATAGGCTGCCATTTGGAGACTAACCTTTAGTCATTACACAAATGGCCATTCTACAAAAATAAAAAAATTTACTCTGTAAACTTCACTGCTCAAAAAGCTGACATGCCTACCCATCACTATGTATGGACTCTATAAACTAAGATTAAGTCATTTCTGCCTTAACTGCTATCAAAAGAACTTCCATTCCTTTTCAGTACTGCAAATCCCTTTCTGAGAACTTGCCTGCTGCTTCCATGAAGTATTTCAATAAATTCTTTGCCCCACTATGGTTTATAACTATAGATCTTAAAGAAGAACCTGCTACTACAGATTTCTCAATATGCTATACCTGTATATTAATGCTGCGCCCAACCTTGGCCAGAGAAGTTTCTTCTATAGTGCTCTGCAGTTAATGAGACTTGTGATTAGTCAAAGTGCTGAGAGTAACTGCCTACTGAATGCTCAGCGCTAAACCAACATGTATATCAACTCTCTCTCAAAGATCAGGGAACATCACAGAGGAGGGGCAGAAAGAATATAAGAGCCAGAGAGGGAGGAGGAATGCTATGAAATGCTGTCTTTCGGTCATGGCATGGCCAGTATACCCATGAATGTACTGCAGCTATGATTACCCACACAAGATAAGTCAACAAGATCAATCATTGTCCCAACAGTCAGCACTAAGTGGCTTCAGTGGGTTATTTTTAAAATAAGGAGACAACACGAAGTGGGCGGGGATGAGTTGGAGGCTCCTAGGAGAAGTAAGAAGGACTTGGGGGCTCCTGGAGGAAGGAGAGTTGAGGTACACATGACCCAAGATGCATTTCTGTATATATTAAATTGTCAAAGACTAAATGAAAGTCTTTCTATTAAAAAAAAAACAAACAGACTCAAAATTCCTAATCAAAATATTCTCAAAAAACAAAAAACAAAAAAAAAAACACCTCATTCTGAAAGTTGTGTGTGGTGGCTCCTGCCTATAACCCCAAGCACTTGGGAGGCTGAGGCAGGAGGATCATGAATTCAAGGTCAGTTTGAACATTCAAGAGGCTGAGATAAGAAGACTGCCCTGAGTTTGAGGCTAACCTGGGCTACAGTGTGAGATCCTGTCTCAAGTAAAACCTGAAAAAATTTAGAAAAATAAGATTCAGCCAAGCATGGAGGGAGACTAGTGAAAAGCCTGTAGGGCAGCAGATGTAGAACTGTTGGTAGATGCCTGCCTAGCATGAACAAGGCCTTGAGTTCCACCCCCAGCACTGCACATGGGTGTGGGCATGCCTGTAATCCCAGAACTTTGAAAAGGACCAGAAGTTCAAGGCTGGAGCTGGAAAGATGGCTCATAGGTTAAGAGCATTGGCTGCTCTAGCAAAGGACCTAGGTTCAGTTCTTAGCACCCACATAGTGGCTAACTGTCCCTAACTCCCGTTCCAGGAGATCCGACACCAGCTTCTGGTCTCCATGGGCATTGTACACATGGGTGCACTTACATACATTCAGGGAAAACCCTAAAATAAAAATAATAAATAATTTTTTTAAAAAAGACTCAGGAAGTAAACAACTCACAGTCTTAGAAAGTCCCTGAAACATACCTTTTACCATTTTACCAGTTCACTAGACATAAGCCTCAAGTTAATAATGAGTCTTAAAACCCAGAATGTCCAAACCAGAACATGAAAGGGATAGATGACAGGATTGACACTTGGCTCCAGAAAATTCACATTGCCTCCCAATTTCAGGAAACCTAAGAATTCCCATCTAAATCTAATCTTACTCAATCTAAGGGAACTAACCCTAACCCACCTCTGGGATGAACAGACTATTTCTGTTTTACCAACTAGACATTTCAGCCATGAGTGTACAAAGATGCCTGGCTACAAGTATCTGGTAGAGCCATGTCCAAATCCAAATTGAAGAGTCACTGGAAGCAGAACTGTCCTTCTCCCTTATAGGGGATAAGGCCATTCTAGATCAAAACCCCCATGTTCAGGTAAAACTTGAAACCTAACAAATATCCTTAACTTTGGTCTCGGACTATAAGAACATTTCTCCCTCTGAGGACTAACAGGACCCTGGGGTTGTATAGGCCCTCATGTTCACCAACTCTGTGAATGAGCGTCAGATAACCCTATACATGGCAAAGACTATGACTACCATTGCAAACACATAAACTACATTATCTTCCTTGATTACCTTTTCTGGTTTAACATTTTGGTCCCAGGTCTTTCTCAGTGGCATGAATGGTAAGTCTCAACTAGGTCACTTTATATTTGTATAGCACCTTTTCACTCATTTGTTTTTGGTCCTATCTAGCTGCCCAGTTCTTCTAGGTAGGCACATCACATTCAAAGTCCAGGCCCATTTAAAATATTTGGAGGCTCTGCCCAGCATGGTGGCTCAGGCCTTTAACCCCAGTACTTGGGAGGCAGAGGCAGGCGGATCCCTGTGAGTTCAAGGCCAGCCTGGTCTACATAGCAAGTTCCAGGTCAGTTAGGGCTATAGGGACATCCTGTCTCCAAAAAGCCCCCTCCCCAAAAATATTTGGAGGCTCCAAAGGCTCTTACAGTGTTCTCAAAACAGAGCCACCTATCTAACAAAGGCCTAGGGTGGTCTATAGCCTCAAATACCCTCCCAACAATATCTACCATACATCCCTACAGCATGGAACAAGTCACCCTGAAGAATGGGGTACCTCACCCCCAAAAGCTCACTAATAGTTGCTCCTGGCCAAGTAGCCCATAAGTTTAACAAAAAATAAATAAAATAAAAAAAAATCAAAGTGCAATAACTTTCCTGGAAGGCCCAAACATTCTTTAAAACCTGGAGATTTGAAGAGCTCACCCCCGCTCATTGACTGTTGGTAACTGCAGTTATGCTCATACAACTCCTATCTTGGTAGTAAAATAGGTTGCTCACCCTTTTAGACTTTAAGGATATTTTTTTCTTTTATTACTACTATTCCCATCTACTCTGCCTCCCAGTTCGTATTTGCCTTTGAACACAAGGACGCTGAACTCAGGTTATTCAACTCACTAAGAGTGTCTTACATAAGGGCTTCTTGGAAAGCACCCACCTCTTTAGGTAAGTCCTAGTCGAAGACTTTTCCTCCTTTAAATTTGCTCAGGCTGGAGACAGTGTTCAGTGGGCTCTTACATAACATGCATGAGAACTTGGGTTTGATCCTCACTACCACGAAAACACTAAGTAAATCAATTATAAATTTCCCTATGGTAGTAACACATTTTACTACAGTAGCATGATTTATTAGAATCTACAGCTCAGACAAACTTGTGTCACATCTGAACAGTGTCCTAACTCATCAGAAATCAGTGTCAGGTAGATACAAGTTTTTCTCTTCAAAAGCATAGAGCTTTCTACAAATTATTCAATTCCTGAGACACTACCAATTCTGAACATGGCAAGGGTCTCATTCTTACTATGAAGACTTCAGCCAAAAAGCAACCAAGAACCATCTTGGACATGGCAGTGTTTGTAGAATTTGGATTCTATGCATTAGCCATATGGCTAAAGCCCTTTATGAGGCTTTAAGGAGACTGGAAGAACATGAGATTGGAGCTCTGTGATAACAAGGAATCTGAACCTCCTGAAACAGTTAGAACTGTTACCTATGCTCCAGCATTAGCTCTCTCTGACCATACTGAATGAACCCTTTTCCTCTATGTACATGTAATAAAGGGAAATACCATGGAGAATGTTAACCCATTCCCAGGGCCCTCTCAGCACCCAGCTGCTTATCTTTCCAAGTCATTAGACCTGGTATCATAGGGCTGTCCTCCA